GTAGCAGCAATTTTAGATTTCAGGCGAGGAGGGCCCAAGGCGACCTGATGGGTTATTTCGAGCTTTGAGGTTTTGAGACGAGAGGTCGGGAGGACCCAACGAGTCGTGGCACACTCCATGTTTTCTATAGAAAGTACAGAGACCCGACAAGAAGTTCAACACCCCAGTCATTCATACAAAAAAAGGGAGCTCGATTTTATCAGGATCACAGACCCGACGAACACACCAAGCTCAGTTTAACATCCAAAGACAGTAGTCCATCGGTTAAGGATCGGGCTCATGTAGCTCGGATGATATTACGCCAAGTCAGCCGGATAGATAATCCTTGAGGATAGTCTTGCTCGGACGAATCTACACCGCACCTTAAGGAATACTTAAGTCGAGGTCGCTTTGGCACTCACTTATTTGCCTAAAGGGTTCGGACGACCCGAGGAGCTTGAGAAGATATTCAGAGCTCTCGTACAGGGGGATTCACACCGCGGTTGTTTTCTTAAAAAGGTCGGGATCTTTTCGGCTCCAGGTACATAAGCTAGTCTTTACTCTATTTAATGATCGAGCTCAGATATCATGATAAGTTCATTTGGGTTACTTAATGTGAAGAATTATCAGTTACCTTCGTATATTTGGAAATATGTTTTCGATGCTAAGATAAGTGCAGGGTTGGCCTAGAGCCTAGATGCGTGTTTGAAGAGATCGCTGCAACGGTGATCGTGATAGGGCGAAAGCCTAGTGACAATGTCGTTAGAGCTTGCAGAGCTTGGTGGTGGTCGAGATAGGGCGAAAGCCTGTTGAGGACATCACTAGAGCTTGCAGAGCTTGGTGGTGGTCGAGGACATCACTAGAGCTTGCAGAGCTTGGGGGTGGTCGAGATAGGGCGAAAGCCTGTTGAGGATATCACTAGAGCTTGCAGAGCTTGGTGGTGGTCGAGGACATCACTAGAGCTTGCAGAGCTTGGTGATGGTCGAGATAGGGCGAAAGCCTGTTGAGGACATCACTAGAGCTTGCAGAGCTTGGTGGTGGTCGAGGACATCACTAGAGCTTGCAGAGCTTGGTGGTGGTCGAGATAGGGCGAAAGCCTGTTGAAGATATCACTAGAGCTTGCAAAGCTTGTTGGTGGTCGAGGACATCACTAGAGCTTGCAGAGCTTGGTGGTGGTCGAGATAGGGCAAAAGCCTATTGAAGACATCACTAGAGCTTG